TTAAATATTTTTTTTTTTTAGGGAAGGATTGACAAAAAAAAAAAAAAAAAAAGATTGTGTCCTGGTTCATCCACCTCAGAAAGCACAGAAGGATACAACTCTTAGTCCTCTTTCAATGGGGTCTGTCAGGAGGAGGCCCTGAGGAGCATAGATCTTCTCGTTCTGTTCCTGAATGAACTTGGCAATTTTCTTTAGAACCTGGTAATAGAACACCACAGAAGTCACAGTTTCAGGTTTCCCTACGTTAGAGTAGGGAATGTCACAATATCACAGAAACAGCATCATGAGGGGAGCCTGGCACACAACTAGAGATGGAACTTGTGTGATTCCTCTGGAGCACAATCACTTTGTTACTCAAATTGACTATTATAGACAAATCTGTCTGGTGTCTGTGGGAAATAACTCTGCAGTAAGATCCAGTATCTATATGGAATCTGTACAACGGTGCAAGTCACACAAAAACTACCAAGAAATAAGTCTTTGACTGAAGTCTTTGAGACATACTGCCTTCCAAGTAACAAGGTAAACCAAAGCAGCGCACCTTTTCATAATGTGTTTCCATGCACAAGAAGATGGTATAGGCAGTCAGACAGGCGAGACACCCTTCCAGGTAAGATTGGCCCCCAAGTTTTTCAGCTTCTGCATAGAGGTTATTCAGTGTTCGGACAGTCTCTTCAAACTGCTGCCTGTCAATCTGCAAGAGAAGTCAGGTTAAGCTATCATGTCCTGCACATTTCAGAACTCTCTGATATCTACCTTCATTTATTGCTTATTTGCACTTCCGCATTTTGCAGCCGCTGTGATTACAGCCAAAGTCTGAAGGACACTTTGAGTTACAGACCTGTAGCTCTTTGTTAAACATCCACCCAGTGATTAGACCAAGTCTGAATTCCAACACAATATGAACACAAAGCAATTAAGAGTAACATAACTGAGTCAATGTGCAATTCAGCTAGGGAAAAAAAAAAAAGAAAAAAGGTTTAAATCACACGCAAAGAGGTCTGCTGGATTAAAAAGAGCAGTTACAGAGTGGGTTGACAGAGCTAACTTAATAATGCCTTGCTGCTGCTGCAGTACTGGTCAAACAAGCTCTGAATAAAGCAACACAAAACAAAACAAACCAGGAAGAGAAGTGCAGCGAGGAAAAAAAAAAAAGGCGTTAGCAAGGAGTGTTTGTTTTGGTCTCAGTTGAAGATATTACATTTGACAGCACTGAAGTACTTGAGACAGTCCTTGTGCGGCTGCTGAACAGGCTGAGCAGAACTGGCTGGTCTCCACAGGAGAGGACGGTGTCAATGCACCACAGCACAACAACGCGCGCTTTATTTCACCAACATAATGAGCACATTCTGTTTTACTGCTACAAAAGACAGCTGCCTTCCTCACGGTTAAAGAAAGCACAAAACACCAGCATTTCATAAACACCGAAGAGAAGCATTTTAAACTATTTTTCATGCAACTTTTCACTGCAAATTAGAAGTATTTTTTTGCTGCAATTGATTAGAAATGCCATTTGGACAACAAACAACGCTTTTATGCCAAAAAATAAACATCGTCCAAAGCAGGATATTCCTTTAAACTTTGAAAACACGCCTCTCGCACCGTGCGCACGGCTGGAACAGAAGGAGAGGATTAGGAAGCGCTACCCTCCTTAGACTTACAGGCACCTATGAGACCTCGGCACCGCCAGCCGGGGGGCGCCGGGGGAGCGCGGCTGCCCGGGCCGGGGCACGGGGGAGAACCGCCACCTCCCTCCGCGCGGAACGAGCGCGGCTCGGCGCAGGAGACAGAAACAGAAGGGCCCCACGAACACCACCCGGTCCCCTCCCGCAGGCTCTTCCTGGGCCCAGCCCTCCCCCGCCGCGGCCGGCCCCGAGGGCCGGGAGCGGGCCCGCCCCTTCGTACCCTGTTCTCCAGCTCGGCCGGGAACTTGCTCTGGAACTGGCAGCGCGTCCCGCCGCTGTAGTCGCGCTGGATAAACACCTTGCCCGACACTGGCGCCTGCTGCGGCCTCATCGCGCCGCCGCCGCCGCCGCCGCTCGCGGCCGCCGCCGCCCACACCACTCCGCTCCGCCGGCCACCCCGCGCACTTACGGCTGTCGCAAAAGCGTCGGGACGGGCCCGGGCTGGGGAAAGGGCGGAAGTCGCAGCGCGCAGGCGCGGCTCGGCGGGGGCGCTGAGCGGCAGGGCCCGCGCGCGCTTGCGTACCGCCTGGCCTCCCATTGGCCACCTGCGCACCACGTGATACAGCCCACGTGACACACCCCTCCGAGCACGTGATACGGCGCGGCCCGGCGGGGCGGGCGGTACCGGGCGGCGGGACGGGACGGGACGGGGCGGAGCGGAGGGGGTCTGCCGGGGCCGCCGCCCGCCCGGAGCTTCCTGCCCCGTGCAAAGGTCCGTTCACACCGGCTTTACCCCGGTCCGGTGGCGATAGTAAACGCGGGATCATTTCCAGACCGCCGACCGTGGGCCCCGGCGGCCAAAGATCGTTTGGTTTAAGGAAAGCCCGAAGGCCGTTCATTGCCAAATCCAGGCGAGCAGAGAGGGAAACACCGACAGTCCCGCAGCACGGTTCCTTGCCCTCTCTGTCCCCGTCTGAGGTCTGTCACCCCGGGGCGGGGGGACAGTCGGGGGGGCCGAGCCGGGTGGCCCCGGGGCTGGTCCCCGCGGCCCTGGCTGTCCCCAGCCCTGCCGTGAACCCCCTCAGGTTATGGAATGCTTCAGTTCAGTGTAACGAGTGCCGTGGCCTGCACAGAACCCCTGAGAAGCAGCAGCGCCCTTTCAGCTGGTTCAGAAACCAGGGAACTGGTGCACCTGGTGGAAGGCTCCTGAGGTCCCTGTGGCAAACTGTGCCGACAGGATTGGAAAAGATGCAGATGCTAATTACAGGCACAATTACTGAGCCTGGGCTGCAGCACAGTCCTTGGCAAGTATTTCCTGGGGTCACACATGAGAGGTGCTGGCGGCGAATGAAAGCGTCAGCGAATTGATTAGTGTAAGTCTGCATTAATTAATGAAGTACTTCCACAGAAGTACTGCAGGAGCTTGAGGTCCAGTGGAAACAAAAGTCTTACAGACACAGCACCAGCCAGAGCCAGGAAATGGGCCTTGGCTGGATCCTCCCTGTGCAATCCCTGTTCCTGACGCTGTGACTGCTGTGAATGGAGCCCAGCATTCCTGAGAGCATTCCTCATCTGGAAGTTGTGAAATCAGATGATCAGAAGATACTGTTCCAAGGTTCAGAAGCTAGCTAATCAGCGACATGTTTATTTAAACAATTACTGGAACCCTTCCCTCAGTTTCACACACAGTGAAGGGAAGCAAAGCCGTTGGGACAGGGGGGTTCATTGCTTCCTGCAGCTGCTCCTCGGGCTGCCCAAGCTTCCACTGGGGAGATGAGGAGGAGGAGGAGGGTTCCGGGTGTCCCAGGAGGAATGAACTCAAGTGCAGACACACTGGGCTGGGCCACACTGCGCTCGGCAGGGTCAGTCTCAGGGCAGATCGGAGGGGGCCAGACCTGCTCCCCCCAGCCCGGGCACCAAGGTCACAGTACCCAGTGCTGGACGGAGAGGTGTCCCCACACCTTGCAGGGCTCAGGCATGGCACAGGACCCATGTCACGGGACCTGCTGGGGTCTCTGTCATGTCCAGGGCTCTCCTGAGCCGCCTCACGGCTCTGCCTGCTCCTTCTCACAGCAGCGCTGCTGAGCGGGGCGGAGGGGGGACGGGGCGCTCCTCCAGAGAGCAAAGATTTTGGGTAAAGCCTGCGAGAAAAGACACCATTTTACTGGTTAAATCAGTCTTACGTTTTACCTCCAAAGCTCTTCTTGTCTCAGTTGATGGAAGCTCTGTTAATAACTCTCGGTGTGTGCCTGAAACTGTTACAAACTGGGAAATCAATAAAAAATGCCCGACATTTGAAAACTTGCCTGTGAGCCCCTCTTGAGCACGAGTGTGTCAGAGAGGTGTTGGGGGGCAGCCCTGCCTGTGGGTCCCGAGCAGGCGCGGAGCCTGTCCTGCCATTCTGAACTGACCCGAGCCAGGATTTTATCGGGAATCATTGGTTGGTGCATCCACAAACGTGGACGGGGCTGAGTGCCACAAGAGCAAAAACGAGCTGACCCACCTCTCTTGAGGAAATGCTCTGTCTTTGTTATTGCTTGGCATCATCCTGTTTAAAGCGCTTTTTGTTTTTTTCTGAATCTTTTTCATTCTTGCTGGGAAAAGGATTATGAAATTTTACAATGCAGTAATAAACTATTATTATTTATTAAATAAGAAGACCCTGTAAAAAATAGAAGGGGAATTCAATCCAGATGCTATCTATTGCAAGGGCATTTGAGATTCCAGATGTTGGTAGTAAAATGTGGTCTCTAATTCATGCTCCCAGAGACAGACAGTGCTGCTGGCTGGGTGAGCTGGCCCTGCTCGGCGTGGTGTCGGCTTTGCCACAGCCTCTCTTCAGGAGCAGCCGCAGCGTCTGACCGTAGGGTTCAACTCTGTCCCTTTGCTGAACATGCTTTTGTGCATGTTTATGGCTGAGAGCGAGACTGTAAGCACATAAAATCAATGTTGTGCTTGTTTTATGAAGGTAATAAACCAACGGCTGCAGAAGTGGGCGGCTGGGTGCGCGGCAGAGAAAAGGGCTCACAGCCCTCGGGTGCAGGCACTTGCTGGGACCTCAGTGGCCGGTGTCGGGAGAGGAATAACAGCAGCGAATTCGGGGCTCTTCTGTCCTTGCTACTCACCGCTTGTTTCCTTTGTGCGCCTCAAGGAGGCCTTTTCCTCGCGGTGCTGTTTCTTGTCTGGTACTGCCACCAGAGCCCCGGCAGCCGCAGGGATGCTGATGGCTCCTCAGTCCCCGACCATCACTCCCCGATGGTGTGAGGCGGCCGTTCCTGGCTCAGGGCTGCAGAACTCGATGCTGCCGTGGGAGGAAAATTGTGTGATGGGATTTAGCTTCAGTGACGGTGGCCTCTCAGCTCTGCAGCTATATGGAAAAGTTTAGCCCAGCTCAGACTTTTGTCTGTGGCTTTATCTCTACCTGTAGCTACTGTAGATCATCCCAAGGGAGAGGCTGAACCCCCCCCCAGGAAGCAGGGACGTGCTGAGGCCAGGGGACGGCAGGCGCAGGGTGCAGGGGGTTGCAGTATCTGGCTGTTGTAGGTGACTGGGTGGTGAGAAAAGATCAGTGCAGAGCATCAGGGTGGGGAAACAACCGATAATAACAGGTCTCTCTGGGTGTGGAGGCTCCGGAGATCCCAGACATCAGGCTTGGACTAACCAGGACTAACTTATTTCCTGTCACCACAGATGGTTTTTGTCCTTCCTGTGTGTCCCCTGGTGCCACCCCTGAACAGAGACCACAGCTGTGCCCAGAAGGACAGGGAGCCCACAACTTCCTTGGACTTCCCTGGATTTTTCCAACCTGCCAAAAAATGCTTTGTCTTCCCGCAGGATTTATGTAAACTGGTTACAGATTTGGACACACGTAGTAATGGCAGATTTTGGGTTACGTGAGTTCAGCTCCTGCTGGCACCTTGCGTCCACGGTTTAACAACAGGAGGCAGCCATGGGGGGAAGCGCGTTGACACATGGCGGGTCTGTGCCAGGCTGTCCCGCGTTCGCAGGGAGGCAGCGCTGGAAATGGCCGTGGGCATCGTCCTCGTCCCGTCTGGGAGGAGAAACCTCTGGGGACGGAGGGGACCGTGGCCTGGCCAGGCACTGGGAGCTGGGTTTACGGTGCCAGGGTCAGTCAGGGGGACGGTTCGGACTCGCCGTGCACATCCCCCTGGGACCTTCCCTCCCGGATGCACAGATGCTGTTTCTGAGTTTCGTGCTGGAAGCGTCGGGGGAGCCGGATGCCCGAGCGCTCGCACATTGGGTGCACAATAGCTGCACAATTAGTGGGGTCCGGGCCAGCCCTCCCGAGGCCCATGGGAGTTTTCCTGGGAGGTCCCGGCGCTCCCAGACCCCCCACGGGCCGCTTGGGAGGGACACGTTGAGCCCAGACCCGGAGCAGCATCTCCCCCTTCCCGCAGCTGCTTCCCAGGAACGGGACCGGAGCAGCCAATTTCAGGGCAGAATTCCTGCCAAGAGGGACTTCTCTGCACAGTAATTGGAAAATGCTAATGCCTAATGCCCACCCTCCAGGGAATCCCTCTTCAAAGCCCCTGTGGGGCTGTGGCACTGACTCCTCTGGGGAAAGCTGCAGCTCCACAGGGGAATCATCCTCCTACAGATCACACAGAGTGTCTTTTAAGTGGAAATGACTGTTTTTTCACAATTAGGTGGAGCAGAAATAATTAAGCAGGGCCACAGCTATTGTTATCTCGTACCTGATTGCCAGAGTTCAGTCTGGCAGGGATTTACCTCTTTGTGCTCTTCTGCTAGTTTTTCATTTTCTTTTGCTAAAAAGCTGATAACATTTGCTCCTCCCAGCACACAAGGTATAAAAATCTGTTTTCAGAGGATCCACTCTTGCACCCCAAGTCAGTCTGTGAAGTTTGTGGGCAAATGAATCCCCGGGGTGGCAGACGAGGCTGTGGGCACCCAGGTACGTGTGGAAAGGAAGCAACTTAGCACTGGTTCAAAGACACCTTTTTCTGTTTGCATTTAACCTTTGCCTCTTTGCTCTTGAAGCAGAAACTGCGCTAATTTGTCTGGGAAGGCTCCTGGGAGGGGTGGGTATGGGCACCCCTCCTGGTCCTTTGCTGAGCACTGCTTGGGGAGCTTTGGGGGACCCAACGGGTTTCTAAGGCTTCCACGAACCCTACGTTTTTAGCATTTGCAATTTCCCAGTGTGCATTGGCTAAGCTCCTCCATTCACATCACACCAGAGTCTGGTGCAGCTTTGTCCTTCCTCTGCAAGATGGCCAGCATGAACGCAGTGCCAGTGGAGCAGCAAGAAGCGTTATAACCCTTAATCCTTGGCTCGGGGGCCACTGAGCAGCACGAGGACCCTAGTAGGGGAGGCAGGGAGGGCTCTACAGCCTCCCCCTTGGCCGTCCACGTGCAAGGACTGGGACAGCCCAGGTGCAGGGACACTTCTGCCCCACCAGCGTCCAGCATCAGCTGCCTCAGAGGGATGCCAGGCACAGC